CTAACCAAAGCAAAAAGGAATGCTTCAGAGTAATGCACGATTTTCAAACTTTAGCTCCCTAAGTCTTAAAAGTACCCTTAGGCCTAAAGAAATTATAGGCAGTTTTTGTGCTGAATTTATCAAGTGTCGAACAGCCCATAAATTGATCCAAAAAACCCAGAAACTGCCTGCCATTGTGAACTGGTTGCCCGTGTACTGACCTGTCCAGATTCTGTCGATTTTGGCCTGAGTTCGGTGCATGCCCAACATGGTAATTTGGGCGTAAACTAGTAGACCGAGGTAGTATTATTCCAACATCAATCACCCCCGACATCTGAAACTGTCCATTAGTAAGACTCTGTTGGGCAGGTCGTTTTTCACACAAAATGTCTTTGATTTCCAACAATTTCTTAAAGAGAGGAGAGTGACCTTTTCTAGGACGAACCTCCCAAATGCAAGTTCCATTAAGATATACTTCATGAATCCACCGAATCCATAGAGTGTCTTTTTTATGTTGTATATTCCAAAGGGCCTTAGCTAGTAACGCTAAATTCCAACTCTTCAAGTTCTTAAGTCCAAGACCCCTTCCTCCTTCGGAAGGCAAATTTTCTTCCACGCAACTAACGGCTTTTTAGATCTCCAAAGGAATGTCCGACAAATGCTAACAATCCTAAATATAATTGTAGCTGGAATAGGGAAAATAGAGAGCCAAAAACATTCAACTCCTTGAAGCACCGCCCTTATAAGTTCAATCTTTCCTGCATAAGATAATGTAGAAGAATTCCATGTATCAATATATGTTGTTATTTTGTCAAGAAACGGAGCATAACAACTTACTTTAAGTTTGCCCGATGCAGGGGGATGCCCAAATACCGAAATGGCATACTCCCCCTCGGAACACTTGTTAATTCCATAATATCCTCAAGAAGCTGTCCATGCACACCAGCTGTAAACAAGTTGGATTTGAGAACATTCAACCTTAATCTCGAGACCGAACCAAAATTGGAAAGGCAATCCATGAGAATTTTAATCGACAAAAAATCTCTCCTCCCAAATAGCATCAAATCATCCGCAAAAGCTAAATGGTTGATCTTCTGGGGGCTACATTTTGGGTGAAAGTTGAAATCACTTTCATATGTGACAGCTTTAAGCAATCTCGAAAGGCATTCACTACATAGCACAAATAAGAAAGGAGAAATGGGGTCACCTTGCCGAAGACCCTTCTCACCTTTGAAAAATCCATGCAAAGTCCCATTCAAAGCAATAGAATATGATGTAAAAGTGACACATTCCATAATCCAATTGACAAATCTCGAGGGAAATTTCAAACCAAAAAGAACATCTCTAAGGAAATCCCAACTTACCGAATCTTAAGCCTTCGAAAGATCAATTTTTAAGAGGCATCGTGGAGCAACCATTTTCCAATTGTATTGCCTCAAGAGTTCTTGGGCAAGATGAATGTTCTCCATAATACTCCTACCTTCCACAAAAACGGCTTGCGCATGATCAACAATGTCTCCCAAAATGAGTCTCAATCTAGAAGCAAGTATTTTAGCAACCACTTTGTAAGTAACATTACAACAAGATATGGGCCTAAAATCACCAACATGTGGCGTGTGATCCGATTTAGGCACCAAAGCAATTTTCATGTGATTAATTTGTTTGAGAATACAACCCGAAGAGAAGAACTCCAAAATAACCCCAACAAAATCATCACCAATAATCCCCCAAGCATTCTTAAAAAAACAAAAAGTATACCCATCCGGCCCGACAGATTTGTCGTCACCAATATCAAAAAGAGCATCCATAATTTCCTCATAAGAAATGTCCCGAATCAAGGTGTTACCTTGTTCCAAGGAAACCAAGGGGCCATTCGTAAGAATATCGATGTCAATAGGCCAAGAGGAGCATTTCTTTCCCAGCAAAGAAATATAAAAATTT